TCTGGAGAGGCTTCCTGGAGATGGTAACTGGGTATTGAAGGACATGTAGGATCACCAGGGAAGACAGAGGAAATGGCAAATGATTGAAGGAGTTTGAGATCTCGATGTTGGTTTTCATCCTTATCAAAATGGTCTTTTTCAGAGGTTAGGGGTCAGATGGGGGAAGAGAACAGTTTGTTTTGGGTCTGTCACTTCCTCTTTCTGAGCCTTAATTGAACTCTGTAAAAAGGAGTTAGACCAGATGATCTTTGAGGTCCCTTCTAGGGATGATGCTACTTTTTTTTTAATATAAATTCATTTTTAGTTTTCAACATTTACTTCCACAAGATTTTGAATTGCAAATTTTCACCCCATCTCACCCCATCCCTCACCCCAAGATAGCACGCATTCTGAATATCTCTTCCCCCTAGTCTGCCCTGTCTTCTATCTCTCCCCTCCTTCTCTTATCCCCTTCCCCTTCTATTTTCCTGTAGGGCAGGATAGATTTCTGTGCCCCATTTCCTGTATTTCTTATTTCCCAGTTACACATGAAAACATTTTTTTTTAAACATGTGTTTTTAAAACTTTGGGTTCCAAATTTTCTCTCTTCCTCCCTCCCCACCCACCCTCATTGAAAAGGCAAGCAAGTCAATACAGGCCATACATGTGCAGTTATGCAAAACACTTCCCTAGTAGACATGTTGTGAAAAACTAACTCTATTTCCCTTAATCCTATCCTGCCCCCTCCCCATTTATTCTATTCTTTCTTTTGACCCTGTCCCTCCTGATCATATGCTACTTTTTTAGGTGCCCTCTCTGCTCTAGCATCTCACTTACTCTGTTACGCCTCTTCCAGGACTGCCATTCCAGGATTCCAAGTTTCCTTCCTGTTCCATGTGTCTATAATTAGGTGATTTTGCTGGATTTAACCATTTAATGATAGCCAGGCAGTGTGGTATAGTAAACAGAACTTGGAATTTGGAGTCAAGAGAGACCTGGTTTCAAATCCCACCTTACACCCTAGTAAGGTACTTAACTTAAAGAAAACTGAATAATTGAATGACTTCTCTGAGCCTTAATTTCCTCATCTATAAGATGGGAAATACTAATATTTCCCTAACAATCTTTCAGGGATTGTTGTGAGCACTTTGTGAATCTTCAAGTGCAGTAGAAATGTGATTATTTTAGGCCAAATTCATGTAGCTCACATTTCTAAGTGCCTTAAGGCTTACAACAGGATTTCCCTACAGCAATCCTGTGAGATCGTTCATACAATTATAATTTTTAAAAAAAGGTTTAGTGACATCTTTTGTTTTTATATCACCTTCATTTCTAGATGTATCATTGACTGATCTCCCCAACCACCTCTTGTTATGAAGAATAGAAAAGAAAGAGGGGGAAAAGAACATTTCAGCAAAACCAACTACCCCATCAGCTGAGTCTGACAATTATGTGTGCAGAGTTCTACACCCATAGTTCCCCACTTCTTCAAAGAATAGAGCAGAGGTTCCCAAGCTTATTTGGCCTATACCCCCTTTTCAAAAAAAATTACTCAGCATGCCCCTGGAAATCCACTTTCTTTAATCCTTCAACAATTTTTAAAATTTGCATCATTTCAAAAAAATATAAATTTTTTAAATGATGCATCTTAAATTCAATAATTTAATGTAAATTTATAGGTTTTTTCTTGCATTGAAATTTTGATGGTGCAATATTTCATCACATAACCATATAGTATCATATTGTAAATAAGTCATTACATGCACATATTCCTGCCTATGCATGCTGGACTTCCTGAAAGTGCTTGACATGCTCACCTGCGAATACTTGCTTGTTAAGACCTGTCAGTGGACTTGACCACTGATTGGTTATAACTTGTATTTTGTGTGTTTATTTGGAAAACAATGTAATCACTATGACTTTAATTCTGTTACACAACAGATGAAACATGTGTGAACTTCTCTTCTTTTCTTATGCTTCCACAGCCCCCTTATTTTTATTCAATGCCCCACAATTGCACCCAAGGCTACTACCACCCCTCCACCCTGGATTGTTCCAGTGCTCCCCAGGGTTGTGGTATCACCCACTTTGAGAACCTATGGAATGGAGGAAGGCTCCTTTTCTCCTCTTTATCAGGCCAGTCCCCAGCATTAAGTTTTTATTTTTGTTAACTGTTCTTTCCATTGATTTTTTTGGAGTTATTTGATTATATTGTGTTCCTGCTTTGTATGGGTTCAACTAAGTCTGCCTGTGCTTTTCTTAAATTCTTCTTATCCTTCTTTCTTATGGTACAGTTTTATTCTATTACATTCATATCCTGTGATTTGTTTAGTCATTCCCCAATCAATGGACATCAACTACAAAAAGTATTATTATAAATATATTGCTGTACATGGGACCTTTTTTTTAATCTTTGACCTCTCCAGGGCATATTCCTAACTGAGATTTTTGTCATTGTTTTAGCATAATTACAAAATGAGTGAAATAATGATATGACAACAGTAGGCATTTATTAATCACCTAATATGTGCTAAGTGCTGTTCTAAGCACTGGGGAGACAAAAAAGGCAAAAATAATCCCTGACCTCAAGGAGCTCACAATCTAGAGGTGAAACAACATGTAAACAATTATGTACAAACAAGGTGTATGTGTGTGTGCATACACACACACATATATATGTAATAAATTGCAGATAATCTCAGAGGGAAAGTACTAAGATTAAGGTAGACTGGGAGAGACTTCTTGCAGAAGGTGGGACTCATTTCAGGCATGGGGGACAGTAAGTGAAAGTACACAGAGTCAGGAGATGGAGTATCTTGTGAGAGGGAAGGGGAGGAAGAGGAAAGGGAATAAGTATTAAGCACCTACTATGTACCAGTCACTGTACTTAAATATTTACAAATATTATCTCATTTGACCCTCACAACAATCTTACCTCAGTAGGTGCTATATACAGTTGAGGAAACCAAGGGAGACAGAGGTTAAGTGATTCAACCAGGGTCATATAGCTAGTAAATGTCTGAGGCTGGCTTTGAACTCAGCCTTTTCTGGCTATAGGCCCAGTGCCCTATCCACTGTACTGCCTTGTGGCCCCTTGATGCGAGGGACAGCAGAGGACAGAGCCACTGGATCGTAGAGTAGGAGAAGGGAGTAAGGTGTGAGAACACTAAAGAGGTAGGGGGAAGGGGTCAGGGAAGCAGGTTATGAAGGGCTTTCAAAGCCAGACAAATGATCTTATATCTGATCCTGGAGGTATAGGGGGCTATTAGAATTTATTGAATTGGGGGATGACTTAGTCAGACCTATACTTTGGGAAGATCACCTTGATAGCTGGGTGGAGGATGGACTGGGGCTGAGCCTCTCCTACCCTGCTCCTATCAGCTTGCCTTTGAATTTCCCTGGGGTGGGTCTATAAGGAAAGGAAAGGAAGCCAACCAGAAAGATATTGCAGCAGTCTAGGCATGAGGTGAGGAGAGCCTGAACCAGGGTGGTGGCAGGATCAGAGCAGAGAAGGGGATGTTGCATGAGATAGAATTGACGAAGACTGGGCAACACTTGGAGATGAGAGAGAGTGAGGAGCTGAGGATGACCCCAAGGTTGTGATTCTGGATGACTGGGAGGATGGTGGTATCCTTGACAGCAAAAAGGGAGTTAGGAAGAGGGGGAGGTTTTTGAGGAAAGATAATGAATTCCGTTTTGGACATGATGAGTTTAAAATGCCCTTAGGACATCTAGTTTGAGATGTTCAATAGACAGCTGGAAATGCAAGATTGAAAGTCACGAGAGAATTTAGGGCTGGAAAGTAGATCTGAGAATCATTGAATCCACGGAAGCTGATGAGATCGCCAAGGGAAATTGTTGTTTGTCCTGGGTTCAACTCCTACCAGAAACTTACTGGCTGTGTGACCATGGGCAAGTTGCTAATCTCTCTGGATGGATCTGGGTATTTTCATCTATAAAATGAGGAGATTGGACATGTCCTTTAAGGCCTCTTTTTTTTTTTTGGAGGCAGTTTGGATTAAGTGACTTGCCCAGGGTCACATAGCTAGTGTTATGTGTCTGAGGCCATATTTGAACTCAGGTCCTCTTGAATCCAGGGCCAGTGCTCTATCCACTGCACCACCTAGCTGCCCTGAAGCCACATTTGAACTCAGGTCCTGTGTTCTATCCACTGCACCACCTGGCTACCCCTAAGGCCTCTTTTAACTCTACATTTATGATCTTATACAATAGACTATGCCCTAGCCTCACCATCTTGTACTGATTTTTCCCTCCTCCCCATTCCTGTCTGTAGACTTCTTTAATCTCTCTTAAACCCACATTCTCTAGAAATAGTGCAGAGCTTCCACTCACTTTAGATAAGGCCTGGATTTCTAGGGCCAACCTGAGCCTTTCATCCTCTAGAGACTGCCCCCCCCCAGCCCCACACTCTCTTAAGGACCATCCTGCAGACCATCGAGAGAATTGCCTGAATATCCTGAGACTCTTCTTAAAACTGAGACTCTCCAGCACTTAGCATGGTACCGGGCTTATATACCTGGCACTTAATAAATGTTTATTGATTGAGTGATTGACTGACTGACTGAAAACAACCCTTATCTTAGGTGTCCTGAAACAAATGGGGACCTCTGCATGTTGAGACAATTGGGATTGCAGATGAAGTCAGCTTGGTGAGGGTGGGGAGGGCTTAGGAAGGCCACAGGGAGCTGGAAGTGACGTCTGAAGTCAGCTAGCCCAATCCCTCCATTTTACAGATGGAGAAAGGGAGGCCCAGAGAGGTTGTAACTTGATCAGGATTCAAATCCAGGTCTTCCAGATTCAAAATCCAGAACTCTATCCACTACAATACAATGCCTCTCAAATGGATTGAGGTGGTGAGGAAGGAAGGGGAGGCAGTGAGAGGTGGCCTGGGGCTGAGCCTCTCCTACCCTGCTCCCATCAGCTTGCCTTTGAATTTCCCTGGGGTGGGTCTATAAGGGCCCAGAGCCACTGCTCAATCCTGCCTCTTCGTGGGCCCCTAGGTACGCCATTGACCGTGACTCAGACTCGGAACAGATCTTCAACATCGATGCTGACACTGGTGCCATTGTGACAGGCAAGGGACTGGACCGGGAGACAGCAGGCTGGCACAACATCACTGTGCTGGCCATGGAGGCTGGTGAGTGGGGCAGGGCTGGGGATAGGATGGAGGAGGGAGGGATGCTCCACCTTCTGGTCCTGAAAAGAAGCCTGAGGCTTATAGTCCTACAGATGCCTGTGGATCCAATCCTCTGGATACCTCCACACCCACCCCAAGCCTTTTGGTAGCAGATAGAGGCCTTCTCTGGGTTTCACTGAATGACAACATTGGTTAGGTGCCACCCACACCACCCCTCCTTTGCATCTGTGTCCCAAACCCTGCCAACTCCTCTCCCCACCCCCAGCTTTTCCTTGAACACTTTCTGCTCTCTGCTATTACTTATTATGTGCATTACCTTGAGAATTCCCTCCCCAAAATCCCTTAGAATAGCCCTGGGCTGCCAATTCCCTTAGGGTTCTCTCCAGAGCCCTCATTCCTGAGACTTGCCTTCCTTCTTCCCAAACCAACCAGCCATCTCCCTATTGAGATCCATTGAGCCCAAGTGTCAGACAGGGCCCTCTTATCATTTACTAATTGCTAATTAAACAGACCTGTCTGAAATACTGGGCCAGATTTTCTACCTGGGAAAGAGAAGAAGGTAGGCAGGAAGAGAAGGGCATCCCTCCCCTTAGCCCTGGTTTTCCTTCGATCAGGTCCCAATGGGGGTACAATTGTCTGTTCCACTTTCTCAGGACATACCAGAGTCCTTAATCCTGAGTTGAGTCAGGGACCTGCCACAGACAGCTATTGTCAAAGTGCAGAAGGCTGAGCTGAAGAGAATGCAGAATAGAGGATGATTTAGCTGAAGTGGATTCTACATGTACATGCAGAGTTTGATGATGAGACTCTGTAAAGAACTGTAGAGGAATCCAGAGACCCTGGCCTGTGGGTAGTGGGCTTGGACTCCAGAGACTCCCTGTGCTGTACTGATGGGGTACCCTGCTGGCTAAGGGCCCAGAAACCTTTGCATGGCTCATAGATGTTTTGTTGCTGATCTGAAAAATAGCTCATATTTCTCTCATGAGTTAAGGCTTACAAAGCATTTTCTCGTAACAAACAACACTATGAAGTAGGTAATGCAAGTATTATTATCCCCATTTTGCAGATAAGGAAACAGAGTCTCAGAGAAGCTAAGTGACTTTTATAGGATTGTGCAAGTAATAGCATCACAGTACAGTGAAAAGGGAGCTGGATTTGGAATCTGATAACCTGATTTCAAATCCTGGCTTTTCTACAGTATGGGGATGGGCTGTGTGCAAGTCATTTAATCTTTCTGTGTGTCAGTTTCCTTACCTATGGGATGGAGTGTTGGGGCAGCTAGGTGGTACAGTGGATAGAGCTCTGGGCTTGGAATCAGGAAGACTCATCTTCATGGGTTCAAATCTGGCCTCAGACACTTACTAGCTGTGTGACTCTGGGAAAGTCACCTAACCCTGTTTGCCTCAGTTTCCTCATCTGTCAAATGAGCTAGAGAGGGAAATGGCAAGTCATTCTAGTATCTTTACCAAGAAAACCTCAAATAGGGTTCACAAAGAGTTGGACACATCTGAAATGACTGAACAAAGATGGAAGGCTGGACTGGATAACTTCCAAAGTCTCTTCTGACTCTAACTCTATGATCATTTTATTATTATTATTATTATTATTATTATTATTATTATTATTATTGCCATCCACTAGATGGGCTTTGCAGTCTGCAGTGAATCTGTCTTCTTTTTGGAGAGTCCCTTGTATCTTGAGCCCAGGCTCCTGACCCTTTAGTCACCCCAGAGGAGAAAGCTTATAAAGTCCCACTTAGCAGGAAAGGCTTAAAGCCGCAGGCTCCAAAGCCCCCATTTAAGAGAACCAAGATCCCTGACCAATCTGACCTCCCTTCAGAGGGAATTGGAGAAACTTCTCCCTGGGGAGGCCCAGGTTTCCTGCCCCTTCCCCCAGCTACGTCCAGCCCCACTGCCCCAACCCTGGGTCCAGTTAAGTCCCTCTGCTGAAGTTCCCTCCATTGCTTTCAACCCCTGTTTAAAAGGAAATACAAAGGAAGAGCAAACCTCTGGGCTGCTGCTATGAGTGCCTTTGAACCTAGTCTTCCCGGGGCATGAAAGGAAAAGAACAAGCGGTAACAGAGCAAGTGGCCAACAAGCTGGGGAAGAGAGAGGAGCAAGCCCTCCTTCCAGTGGTCCCCAGGAGGCAGCTGAGGCCTCAGGCAACAGAGGGGGAGAGAGAGAGAGAGAGAGAGAGAGAGAGAGAGAGAGAGAGAGAGAGAGAGAGAGAGACAGAGACAGAGGTAGAGGCAGAGAGAGACAGAGAGACAGACACAGAGGTAGAGGCAGAGAGAGACAGAGGCAGAGGCAGAGACAGTCAGAGAGGAGAGAGACAGAGAGAAAGAGAGACAGAGACAAAAGAGAGGCAGAGACAGACAGAGATAGAGAGACACACACAGAGACAGATACAGAGAGAGAGGAAGAGAGAGGAGAGACACAGAGATGGGGAGAGAGAGACAGAGATAGAGAGACAGACAGACAGAGACAGATACACAGACAGAGAAAGAGAGATAGAAAGACACATGGAGAGACAGAGAGAGATCTGAGGGGCATTAGCAACACCTCTCCTAGCCCCAAAACTGCACCCCCCACTAGCCTACTGTAGCGTCTGTTAGTCTACCCTTATCAATTAATTCTTTTAGGATTTTAGAATGAGAAGGAACTAAAATATCACTAGGTTCAACTCTTCATTTTATAGGTGAGAAGATTGCTACAAAGAAAGAAAAGTGACTTGCCCAAAGTCATATAGGAAAGAACAGAGGCAGGACTCAAATCCAGGACTTCCAACTCTAAGTCCAGTGCTCTCTTAAACTATGAGAAAGAAAAAAACTAGCTTTTATTAAGCACCTACTATGTGCCAGCCACTGGGCTAAATGCTTTACAAATATCACCTCATCTGATCCTCATCACAACCCTGGGAATTAGGTGCTATTATTATCCCCATTTTATAGCTGAGGAAACTGAGGTAAACAGAAGTTAAGTGAGTTACTCAGGATAACGTAGCTAGTAAGTGTCTGGGGCTGGATTTGAACTCAGGTCTTCCTGACTCTAGGTCCACTACTCTATCCACTATACCACCTAGCTTCTTCTGAATGAACTGAACAGAAAAGGATCTTAGAATATAGCTAATGCTAGAGCTGGAAGGGACCTCCTTAGAGACCCTCTGATCCAACTCTGCAATTTGATAGATGGGGCATATAAGGATAGGGTTAGTCATGGAAAGCTTCATGGAAGAGGGCGGGATCTGTTGAAAGCCCAGCCTCTTTCTGGGTAGTAACTATGACAATCTCATTGGAACGGATCACTGGATTTGGGGTTAGTGTTACTGGATTCAAATCCTATCTCAGGCACTACCTGTTCGGCCTTGGGTGAATCACTTCACTTCTCTTGGTGGGGTTGGACTTCATGGTCTCTAAGGTCCCTTAAAGCTCAAAAATCTATGATCCTATCATCTGGTGACTTGGAGTCACCATCTTTGCTATGCAGTTGGTGAAATCCCTCTGGACCCAGGGCGCTGAGCTGGGGATTCTTCGGGTGAAATCAGAGCTTACACAGGTCTTGCTCCCCTCTCCAGAGCATTTTTTAGAAATCCCATTTTCCAGGAGAGCTAGATTCAAGAGGATTTTTGTAAAGTGCTTAGCCAAAGGGAGCCTTGCTTTTCTAGGGCATCCCAAAGCCAGATTCACAAAATCCAGGAGGGCCAGATTACTGTATAACATGGACTCCATATTCCATCAGAGGGTCAAATCAGGTCTCCAAACACAACTCCATATAGTATTTTCTTGATAAACTGGTGTTAGTAAAACTAACTCCTTACATTTGTAGAGTTATTAATTTTCATCAAAGAGAAAAGCACAACCCCTACCCCCTATCCCTCCTATCTATACAGCTACATTGCATCTTTCTTTGATCCCTGGAGGTAGGCAGTTTAGAGACTAGCTGACATTTGAGGAAACTGAGGCCCAGAGAGGGGGAAGTGACTGGCCCAAGGTTACATACTTGGAGGCTGGCTCAGATCTGGGGCTCAGTGCCAGTTCTGACTGAGCAGAAGTCTCCTCAGGAACATTAATGTAGGGGGCATCCTTGGTAAAGGGAAGAGCTGTGGGGAGATCCAGGATATTTCTAGTCCATGCTCTCATGGTAATGTCAGACAACTCTGACCTTGGGCAACAAATAATAATAATAGCTGATGTGTATGTAGTGCTTTAGGGTTTACAACACACTTTACGTACATTATCTCATAAGAACTAGAACAGGACTTCTTAACCTTTTTTGTATCATGGTCCCCTTTGGCCGTCTGGTGAATTTTATGGACCCCTTCTCAGAATAAGGTTTTTAGACACAAAAAACAAAAAACATGTACTCACAAAGAAGGCCAGTTAAACTGAAATACAGTTATCAAGATATTCTTCCCATCTAAGTTCATGGACCCTCTGAAATCTATCCACAGATCCCACCCCCAGTTAAGAACCCCTGCACTATAAATATTAGCCTTAATTCACAAATGAGAAAACTGAGGCTCTGAGAAAACACATTTCATTTCTTTGGACCTTGATTTTCTCCTCCATCAAATGGAGGTAATGTTGTACTAGATGACCTCTGAGGTCCCTTCCAGCCCAAAGATTTTATGTTCTCCAGTTCCTTCTAGTTCCTACAGTCTCTGTTCTGAGGTCCCTCTGAGCTCAAACATTCCCTGTTCTGTGTTTTAAGGCTCCTTCCAGGCTACGTATTCCATGTTCTAACATTCTGCGTTCTAAGGCTCCTTCAGACCTTGACATTCTGAGAAGTCTCCGTTTGCTCAGCTTCACAGGGCTGGCGGGAACAGGGCGTGCCTGGCAAGGGGGTGGGGAGAGCTCCGGAGAGAGCAGGACCCGCTGGCCTGACCTAGAGGTGGAGGCTAGCGGGGTGGGGTGGGGGGGCTAGTTTAACCAGCCAAGCTTTCTCTCTTTTGGCAAACACAAGGTGACAAGAATCAGAGGGGAAATATTTATACACAGCAGC